TTTTTAAATTATTTAAATTTAATTTATTATACCCTGAACCCTGAAAATGGGAAATCAGGGTATAATGGTTTTGTTAAAAGTATGTAACAGGCAGAAGGAGGCGTGGCAGACCCCACAAAGTATATATATTCTTGATCAGGGAGATGAGCTGAGTAGATCCGTCCGTATGTATGAACGCGTTGATCTCAGATATAGGAGTTAGGACTGAAATTTTTCCTAGGTTCGTGTATATCACGATATGCGCGTGATTTTTTTTTCCAAAAAACGAGAACTACTCCCGATATTTTGTTATCGATTAAAAACCTTATCAAAATTTAGTTATTTAATTATATCTCCTACACTTTTAGATCTACAGTCTCCAAACTTAAAAAGTAAACTTTTATGTATTTTATATAATTTCGGTTGTTGTTTTAATTTAACCTCACCCCTATATCCACCCCCTCACCCACATATTTGTAGAAGGCGTAGAGACTTGTGCTTTGGATGCATGTATTCCCATGTTATGATAACGATTTACAAGTTTCATAGAGATAGTCCAATTCGCTTTAAGTATTTCTTTATGTACAAATATTTAAGCTTATAAATTTAATATTCAATGTGTATTTTTTTTTATTTTTACTAACTTTTATTATAGTTTTAAAAATGTTTTGTAATTATTTAATTGGCAGTTTTGTCTATAATGTCAGCCAGAGATCATTCGCTTTAGGGACTTGAATGTCAATTACAATTACAAACCACACACAGTTATCTTTTTATTATTAAAAATATAAATAACAATGCCTTTTGTTTATCAAGCTCCACAGCTCCCATTAAACATTTTTCTTTCAGTCATATGGTTATAAATTAACCAACTGATAAGCGAGCCCAAGCACCAACACCACAAAAAAAAAAAAATAAAATTTGCAGTCGGGAGTTACCGACTGCGACATACCCATTTTCTCATTTGCCACGCCCCCAATTAGTATATATACATATATTATTGTCTTACTGGTTGTTTGACTTAGTGTTGTGAACTTTCTAGTAGCTCGACTGTCATGGCTTCTGGGATTCTTAATTTTCTGATTTGCCACGCCCATAGTGGGCGGATTGGGAAAATTGTAATATTTTATGCAAGCCTTAAATCACTAGCTAAGTCGGACAGACGAACGGACAGTCAGCAAGACAGGCATTGTACAAAACCAATATACTCATTTCATTTTCCTGAATGACTAAAATAAACCAAAAAAAAAAAAAAAAAAAAAAAAAAAAACAGCAACAGTGGTTGATGGTGGCGGATTAAAGCCACTCGCGTCGATAAGACACGAAGCTAGCGAAACAAAAAAACTTTTTTATTTTCTAGCAGCTAATTGTTTATATGGAACGTGATAAAATGTTTATATGTGAAGCCCATTAAAACGATTGTAATTAGCATATTATGTGCCACTTTTGTCTGTACATTTTACTCTCGGCCACCTTGTTGATAAGGTCTTTCTTTATTCCGATAATTGTGTCAACTGATAAAGCTTAACGCGCTGCTGCATGCCAATCCAGACTTTTGCTTAAGCGAGAGTTATACTGTAAATCACCTTTATAATATTCTCTTTTTTTTTT